AATCAGAAGATTTGAGCTCTTCTGTTCAACGTCTGAATAGAAATCAACGTACTCCCACTAACTTCTCACCGCCGCGGTTTGTTAATCACAAAGAGAGAAGTGAGGATTCAGCAGTTGTGCGGCGACCGCGGGGTTGTTGCCCCAGCAGGCAGACCAAGACAGACGGTTTTGACGCTTCAAGGTTTTGTTTTATCATCAGCGCATGTTGAAGACAGCCTCTCTGTTGTCTACAGACCAGCTGTCTCAGCAGCCCGGCCGGTGAAGCTGCCTGTTCATGGCTGGGCATCCGTTCACGTCTTTGACCAACACACACACCTCTGACTCAATCCCCTACTGTCCGCCACAGATTTTTCTCGAGGAGTCCCAGAGACAGATTCCTTGATATGATTTATACTTCCTCCCTCTCTCCCCAGCTGTCTGGATAGTCATCTCGTGTACATTTTTCCAGACGGAGGGAAAGCGTGGAGGGGTGTGGAGCACAGATGGGGGGGAGGGGAGGTGTGGATATGTTTTGGTGAAACTGTAAATCAGCTTCTTTACCAAAGGGAGTGTGTGGCAGGGAGGCGATAACATTTGAATGTAGGTCAGTGTGCACTTCTATAAACATTTTACATCAACCTCTCTGCAGGACCTTCAGGATATCCGAGACATGATTTGAAGCTGGAAAGCACTTAGGTGCTATCAGCCTGTGGAAACGCTGTGTTCGCTTCATAAGCACCCAGACTAGGCCGGGCAATAATTCAACACTGTGAAATGTTGACTTTTGGCTTCCTCAAAAACTGGGAATAAACAGGGTTTTCTTAAAGAGCAACACTTACCGAGAGTGTTTGGAAGGTCGTGCCTTTCATTTCACCTTCGTAAAGTCTAAAATACAAGAGCTCAAGTGTAAGAAATGATTGACACCATGTAAGCCTGCCTGGCTGGCTAACTAGTCTGGTAGCTCGCTTCCAAAGCTGGGAGTGGTGTTATTATCGAAGATGTCGGGTTACAAGTGAGAAAAAAAGATCCAATCAGGACTAAATGTCCACCTCATGGAGGCAGAGTGACACCTGGCGCAGATTATTGGAGTTTAAAGGCTCTGTTGGGCTTTGTATTGAGTCTAATTATTAGTTTTTCATACATTTATGGACTACATTGGAAAAAATGTGTTTTCAGCCAAACTGTCCAGCTGTATGTTTTCATGTACTTGTTTTGAAATGTGAATTTTCACTCAACACATTTTGCTTAAACTTTGAGAAACAGTCTTTTTTTGTTGTTTACTTTAAACAAGTCCTTATATGATTGCTGGCAGTGGTGGTTATATATATGGTCTCATGTTCAGAGTGCATCTTATTTCACAGAAGTTTTCCCTGCGGTTGGATACCAGCGATACGGGATTACACATCATCGATATTACATGCGTGTACGTGCCAGTACATGTTGTACAGCCAGCTCTGCTCAGGGGTGAGATGTTGCTATACTTAAGCTAAAAATAGCCCCAGATATAGATCAGTGGACATCTTGCAGAGTAAGGCGGCAGTCAATCATGTTGGAGGCTTTCATGTAATTTGTAGAGTCGTGACTTTAAAGCATTTAAAGCAGCGCTGTCTTAACAACACACTCAGGAAGCACATTTGTTCTGAATAAAAAAATATTTCACACAAACAGAACAGAGCTACAGTAGGTTTTTAAACTTTGGCCAGGTTTTATTTTTAAATCTTTATTTTTTTGTTTTTACCTACCACAGCTCTAAAGTGGTGAGAAAATGTTGACAATACTTGTGAAATGTTTTTAATTATCCAATGATATCTCAGGAGAACTTATTACCGGGTTACTACAACTGACGTATCGGCTTCATGTCAGAGTGGAGTTAATATTAAGTAAGATACTCATTTGAAGATGACAACATACAGATTTTGTCCAGGGAGGACAGATGGTTTGAGAGAGAGGTGAAAGAAGCCATGTATGTCAAACTGGAAAGACCATCCCTCAACAGAGGTGGAGGTCTGAGGCATCACCTCTCACCTGTTTACAATTCAGTCCTAAGAACTCTCCACCGAGCCACAAAAGACCTTAACGAACCCCACTGTGGCAGGGGGAGCACTAACGACCCACATAACGAGGGGGAGGAGCAACAAACCTCCAATTGAAACTCAGGTGTTAGTGGCTCCTTAAGGATATCTGGAACTCCCAACTAGTCAGTCAGAGCTGATGAAGCCTCTTGGATGAGAGGTGGAACGTCTTCAAGGAACTCAAGCAAGTCCAGTTGCTACCATTAATCTATGAGAATAACCAGGACCTGGATGACTGACAATCTTCACAGACAATATTAAGGATGTATATCGTATTGGGTAAAGTAATGTATAAGAGTACATAATGTGTTATAATTAGATGTTACGTGAGCAAAACTGTAATCTATTAAGAAATGAGTAACTAAAGCTGCAGTATAAAGCAGTAAAATAGGAAATACTCCATTAAAGTAACTTAAATTACACCACAGCACTCGAGCACATTTACTTCCTTACATTTCAAGTTACTGCAACAGCCTCACCTACGTCACCTTCTTGCTATCCACAGCGAGACAACATGCTTCATTAATACTCTTTCTCAACTATGAAATCCTCTAATTAATATCTCATTTTGCCGGCCGCTCAACTGGAAAGCCCAAAAGGACCCTGGGCTTTTGCCCCTTTCTGACCCCCCTAATACGAACCACTTGGATAGTTCAAAAACGGTGAAATGTGGAGTTATTCAGCTCCCCTTTGGATTTAAGACTCCCCCGCTTTGTTAGATTTACAGTCTGCGCTGCAGAGCCTGTACTCCCTCCTCTTCTGTTGGCCTGCTGTGAATCACAGTCCAAACCCGTGATGTCACCTCTGAGCCTCCGCTGCGACGTCATGTCGGGTTTTATTCGACAGACCTCAAACTGTGGGAGCTGTACCTTCGCGCTGTCCTCAAACAAAAGGCTATCTGTTCCTTTGCTAAAGCGTCGGGTTTCCACTCAGCCAGCGGTTCTGTTATTTATCACTGAAGCGACGGAGGAGCTGAGAGCCTCGGCCACCGTCCTTCCCTCCGCATCCTCCCTCGGCTTTGTTGTGTCAGAGGTGTGAAAGGAGCCGTTGTATCATCGCCACCATCAGCATATTTTGTATCCTGTCAACAGATTGCTCTCCCTCCGTCTTGTTGAGCCAACATATTATTCCACCAACATAAAGCATTTGAAGTCCCCTGGTCGCGTAAGACAAAAACACTCAGAGTGAACAGCTTGTGCTCAGTGCTGCTATCTATCCAACACCTCAATTAAACAAAAAAAAGAGTGGCACTGTATATGTCAACAAGTACGTGCTGCTAAATTCTAACAAACACACACAGCTCCTCTTCATAGTTTGCCTGCGTTTGGCATTTGTGTCGCAGTTGTTCAGCCTGTCCCTGTTGATGTATTTAATCATTTTTCCAGTGCCTGCAGTTTGAGCTCACAGCTGTTTGTTGGATCATCATCGAGAACACAAACTGAAGTGCTGACTGCCAGACTTCTTTTATAGCTGACAAATGCTGCGTTCAACCTGGTATGACCTATCTTTGTGGCGCTGTTTGTGGGTGTTATTTCACAGTAGATGTATTTTTTTTTTTCCCCAAGCAGCGTTATCCATTGTGCGTGCTCTCGCTGACAATCACAAGGAAGAAGTACAAGTGTTTTATATGTTTTTCTGACCTTTCTTTTTTCATAATTCATTTCATATTGTTCGTCTGTTTAAGCTTGCGGACACTTATTTACCATTTTGCAGAGAAGTTCACTTCAGTTAAACAGCTCTATTATATTGTGATAAAAACACTATTCTTTAAAACCATCATGCACAACTCTTTATTCACCAGGCATATTCCCATAAATAAATCTTTAAAAATACTAGTAATAGCCTGAAAATCCCAGCACCAGTGGGGCTTTACTGGTGTAATGCACGTGGATCACGCTGACGACGTAAAACTGCGACTTTATGCAGGATTTTGCCACTTTCCCTGGTGTACAAACACATATTCTGTCTCTGCGACCTGTGTTTATGAAATGACATCCCCGGTAATAGCCCCTCCACATAAAGCCACTGAGGTGGCATTAGCTTAGCTTGCACTTTGTCATTTCCATTGGCAAATCACATAACGGGGCGCAACTCGGAACGGCACACGAGGACACGGCCGAGCAGATCTCATAACAGCCGTAATATGATCTCTTATCTGTAATTGAGGCAGGGAGTCGGCACACGGCAGCGCGGCGTCTTACCTTGTAGTTGCGGCAGGTGGGGTTGAAGGCGTTGGTGCCGCAGGCGAACAGCGTCTCGTCGTTGCGCGGCACTAGCACTTTGATGTAGTTGTAACATTCGTCCTGTCGGGAGGAAAACAGCTTCATGTTATTGTTCATCGGGGAGCAGGTCCGTGTTGGCTCCTGGCACGCCGGCGACACAATCAAAGCAGGACTTGCAGCAGGTAGACGGTGCATTTTACTGGCTGACACACACACACACACACGGCCATTATCGTAATCCCCAGGCTGATTCTCGTGGTTTCACTGCAGCTCTAGAGTAAAACGCGATGCCAGAACCCCGGTCTGTCGTCTCCTGATGGCTGTGGTGCTGATTCTGATAAGCTACCGGCACACTACCATTACAGAACGGCGGAGAGTGAAGGAAGTTAAAACTAAGAACAACGAGGATGCGTGTGGAAGATAATACTCACGCTGTTTTTCCCTCTCACGGTGCACTTCTCCACATCCTTCGTCTTCCAAGTCAGCTTCTGAAAAAAAAAATAAACGAACAGACAGCCAACTGTCAGCTCAAAGACAAGCTGTTTCTCACCATCCCAGCTTTTGTTGCGCTTAATCGTTCAAGTGCTATTACGAGACAGCTGTGATGAAGATCTCATTAATTTCAATAAACTGTAGCGCAGAAAAACAAACAAACGGAGAAATATCGGGGATGCCTGCGGCGGCCTGAGTCAGTGGGCAGCTGAAACATTGTGGCTCGCTTGTGATAAAAAAAATAATAATAAATAAAAAAACCACTCTGAGAATGTGCACATGCAGTGGAACACAAAAAGATCCTCGTTTCACTTCACTGTCTATATGATGAGGAGTCAGTTAGCCACAATTAACCCACTGGTCAGAAGTCCTGCCCTCGTTCTGCACACACAACAACTGCTGTTACAGAAAAACATCCATCAGCTTGTTAACAAGCTCGGCCAGCTGAAGGATTAATGTGCTTCCATCCGCCGTCAGCTAATTTACTGACCAAATTTTCTCGGAGCTCATCGATACCTCGGAGAATACTCCGTTATGTACACTCCTGTTTCACTCCGGCTCCTTCAGTCAACAACTCCCAGCAGGACGCGAGCAGACAGAAGCTTGACGTCTCACTCGGTGACGCGTCGTGGTGCTATGGGATGGCCTCCGAGCACCAGCAGGCAGATCGGCTGCTGTAGTCCGAGGTTGAGATGGATCTTTTGAGGTTTGAGACTTGAAGTATTTGATTTTCAATGCTGATTTGACCATTTAAATGTATAGTTAAGCTGAAAATGACTCATACTCATGCCAAATTTTGATTTATAGTGGATTTATATTTGCCCAAAATGACAAAGAAGTGACCAAAGACATTGCGTTAGAGACATTATTGATGCAAGTTTTGACTCAAATGGTCACGTCCAAAACTATTCATACCCCTTGTAATCGTCGCACACAGGAATCAAAGCGATTCTATAACTGCTGTCGATCTTTTTGCGTGTCTCCGTTGGGATTCTGATCACTCCTCACGCAGGTTGTCGAGGCTGGAAGGCTTTTCTCTGCCGTCACTCATCTCTTCAGTTCGCAACTTTCTCGATGGGATTCAGGTCCGGACTCCGTCTGGGCCGCTCCAAAACGTTGAGAATGTTTTCTGTTAACCGTTTCTCAACCACTTTGGCTGTATGTTTCAGATCAATGTCTTGCTGGAATTTCCGATGCTGCCCAAGGCCAAGTTATTTTTCTGCAGACTGCTTGAAGTTTTCCTCCAGAATCCTAATGCAGCGCTCCTCTCTCATAGTGCTGTTTACTCTGACAAGGTGCCTGGCCCACTGGCTGAGAAAACAAACCGAGCAACGCTTCTTCTTTCTTTTGCCAAACGAAGGCTGTGTCCCTACATCCAAGCAACTTCACGTTTTTATCTCATCTGACCACAGAATTGATGAACAAAAGCTTTCTTTCTCATCCAGGTGAACTATTGCAAAGGCCAGGGGAGGTTTTATGCGTCTGTCTTGTGGAGTTCGGTGTCCATGGAGACCACCGTCTGCCTTGAGATGCTGCTATCAGCACTGCTCAGATTCACGAGGATGGTCTTGGTGCAGATTTTTGGGTTTTTCTTGGCCTTGACCATTCCTACCAAGTGGTCACTCTTGGCTTTATAATTACGACCTATGAGGAGACCCACGATGTGGAACTTCTTGTACTTTATGCACTGTGGCCACTGGCACCGGAAAACACTTGGAAATGGCTTTAAAGCCTTTTTTCCCGTCTTGCGAGCAGACACGCTGCGACTCTCTCTCGGTAATGGACTCTAATAGGAAGCTCACTAAACTCTGGTTAGAGAGCCACAACCTAATCAAGTTATAGTGCATTTGAATGCTGTAGAACATGGAAGAAATTACCAGGGCCATTTGGAACGATATCAAAGCTTCTTTTTTTCTTGTATGTCATTTCCAGCCAGAAGAAACCTCACAGTCAAATTGTCAGTATAAATTAAAATTGAGCATGGGGATGAATAGTCTTGGTCCTAATTGAGAAGCTGTTTTTTGTACAGACACATTTTCTTGTCTTGATTCTATGTCTGTATTTATATAGTTTGCATGGACATGTTCCTGCTTTGTACAAATACTTCAAATCTGTTTTAACCTGCTGTCCCTACTGAATGAGGAACAACATCTAAATTTGCATCAAAAACAAAAATGCAAACAAAAACAAAGTCCAAGTCCAGAGCCTTCCATGCTCACAAAGCCAGAGAGTCTTCCCGTTCACCCCTCAGCTCCAGCCTCACAATAAGCCAGCCTGTTTTAAAATACATTTTGATTCCTTATTGGAGCTGAAGTTTCACTTTTCTTGGACCATGAGCCCCTGAAATGCAATTTATCCCAGAGGCCCCTTGTTCTCTTTTTCTCAGCGCCGGCTTTCGATTTTGTCGGATAGCTTTCAGTCCAGCAGTCAAATCAGAAAGTACTTGGAACAGGTGAATTCAACTACAAGGTGGACGGAAAGACCGGCAGCATTCTTGATGAAGAAGAGACGTGCTCCTCTTGTGAAGGGATTCCTGTTTTACGACTACAAAAGCACAGACATTTCTTTTCCATTTCCGCTGTCTATGATAAGTATAAAAGGGGATATATTAAAGAATACAGCTGCTGTTGTTCTTTATTCTCCTTCTTGTCAACAGATCTCATAAACAGATCAGAACCAAGCATGTGTCGATATTTCTCTCAGTATTTTCTGGCTGCCGGACCTCGTCTGTGCCACGTGGCCTCAAAGCACATCGTTGAGGGTGAAAGTACTTAGAAACAGGCTGGGATACGTGGAATGGAGTTAGGAAACTAGAAGACGTAACCACATTACCGATGCATTCAGTAAAAATGGGGATTATTGGTAGGAATACAATAGACTAAAGGATGAAATGCGACAACCTCAGGATTGTCCAAAGTCACGTCTTTGGCAAGAGACACTCGCTTTTCAGTCTCTGTCAAAGCAGCAACAAGATCCATACGAGCACCTCCAAAAAAACAAAAGAAGTATTTCCCACATTTACGCACGGCATTGCGTCATTTATTAGGCTACTCAATTCTAAATTATCCCTGACATAGAGACAGGACCAATCAGGATGTACCAGTAAATGGCACTGTGTGCTTTACTTCAGACAGATGAGCTGTCCCACACATACCCCTTTTCTATCAAACTGGTTCCAGTGCTGGTTCGGAGCCGGTGCCTGACTTAGCACCAGTTCTTTGTGTTTTCACCGCCTAGGCACCGGCTCCAGGCTTTCAAAACTGGTGCACTGCGGCCACCGACAGCAGCTAGTGCGGCCTGCTATGTGGGACGTTCAGGGAACATCGTAAATTGTAGCATCTATCAATAAGAAAATGTTCAGCAAATCATATGTTTAGCCTGTGACAAGGTGGGAAGTGTGATAAAGTTGGTTGCACCGGTGAAAAAAAAAGTCTGGAGTCCTGCGTGGACTTCCGTGTGGCACCAGCGTTGTTCAGTAAACGGCTACGTATGGCGTGGCTCTAACTTGGCTCCTTGTCGATGGAAAAGCAATCGATCGTTGGAAAAGCCTGATTTGAACCAACTAAGCACTGGAACTAGCACCGGGTTGTTCCTTTTGGTGGAAAAGGGGCAACAGTGTCCTAGTTTATCAGCTGGTCCAACATTTAGGACAGAGGTGCCGCCCTCAGGAAATATTTTTCTGCCAAGTTAAGCATTTTATGTCCATTTCGCCCTCACAGCAGGATACTGGTGGTGACATCATTGGATGTTTCTTATGAATATGACCTTTCTGATTATTAGAGTAACCAAAAAAATATGCAATAGTGGCAATAAAAACAAGTTTAAGATACGCTAAGTTGTTGTAGTTATAGAAATTAGACTGTCAGCTACACAGTCAGCAGATTTGGCCTAATAATGTTAATTATTGACCCTAATAGGCATTGCATTATGGGTGAGCCTTTTATCTTCCCTTTACATATAATAAAGGAGAATACAGGTAGGATGAGTCAAATCTAAGCATCATAAATGCCGCTCACTGATATGTTTTTGATATTGGTGGAGCTCTATGAACCAGGAGATTAAAAGACATGCTGCATTTGGGATACACAGGCAGCCCTTGTTAGCAGGATTGATTTACTGTCTGTTTTGATCGTTGATCGAGATTCTTTGTCAGCAAGAAAAGCAGAATATTGCCCGGCTTATCCTGTAAGCCCAGATGTCCTTGGCGCTACAGGGTGTTGCACATCTTTGATTTGTTTGATTGTCACATTTTGCATAAAACATAAGCTGATCTATCCACAGAACAATACGAGCAGTAAGCCCAGCGAGAATTGTCCCAACCTGTTATTTTGTAATCAGCATATAACAGACTACTTGTTGTTTCTGATTTTAAAGCCGCCACTTTTCCCCACAGGTCTTTGTGTGGGACACCTCTGGCGCGACTTTGTGCAGATCTGTCACGATTCAGCAGGAGTCAGCATTATGGTAATAGGTCTTGCCTTGTCCACGCTCGATTTGGTTTACTAATAATTACTTATGGCCACCCAGGCCCGGGGAGATCAGTGAAGGGGAGAATGTGAATGAGCGCCTGGTGTGAAAAATGAAGAGGGGCTTTAAAAAATGAGCCCGCACGAAGGAATGGATCTGTGATGAAGAGGACACACCATTTTCTGGTGATATGAGTCAGTCACACACTAACGATCGAGCTCAGATGGATAACAGGAATAGGAGAGGCAGAATGTGGGTAAAGTCTTTAATAATTTTCCACTCGGTTCCTGCTGTCACACTGGAGGCGGCAGAGGTTTGAGTGAACGGCTGAAAAATGCATCCTATAACAATATTCATTATTTAAGTTCTCATATAACTGGAAGAAAAAAACATAAACATTACAGTGCTCAGAAGTTCCCCTTTTCTTTGTGCCACGGCCTGCCCCCTAATCAATAGTTTAGATCCCCTCGACATGGAGTGGTGGCCTTATCAGAATGAATATCTGTGTTTGGCACTAATCTAAATACAAGCAAACAAAAGTCCAGGCCTCGGAGGGTTTTTATTTAAGTGCAATCATGTTTGACAAATGAGATTCAGATAGGAGGGAGCATGGCACTTCAAAAGCAACAAGAGCGCCGCTCCACTTGTAGTGGATATATGTCTGAAGAGAGATTGCTTAATACTTGAATGAAAAGGCAGACCAAGGGTAGAAGGGAAAATAATGAGATACAAACATTACGGGAGATCTTTTTTCTGTAAAAACATATTACATTTCAGGAAAAACAAGAACTCAAACGGCGAATAAAGAGCACTGGTTTGCATTAAGCCCTTCTTTAAATCTTTTAGGTCTATCTGTACGGCTGATATATTACCCAGACTATCACTATTGACAAGAAAAACTCCATGCTCACTTATGTGAAAGTCTTTACCGTTCAGCTTATATTTAATAACTGCTGAATCCCAAAACCTATTTTAACATTAAACAGCCAAAATTTGTCAAGCAAGGCTGGTAAATCATATATTATTGGTATTGATTCTGGAGGATCAAGAGATCAAACACTACCTAAATGTCAGAGTCTTAGACTAAGACTTGGCCTTGGAAGTTTTTTAATGATGGAAATCAAGCGACCACTCTCCAGGTTAGAGAGCAAACGGCACGAACACGCTTCACAGTAAATAATATGCCAGCACATAAATGGATATCGACCCAAACTCCTGTATCAATTAAAAGTTAGGCGTCGGGCCCAAACATGTATAATTCTGACACAGACGGCGCTCTGAAAGGCAACGAGGTGAACACGCCAGACGATTTTCAATCATGTTAGCTGACAGACTTTCCTACCTGCTGTGGGATTATCTGCTCAGATGAGGTGGCAAGATTGATGGCAAACACATGGTCTCTGCAAGAGAGGGAGAGTCAGGACATTAGCAGGGCCATCTCCACATGCTTCCTGTCAGCCCCGATGCTTTCTGAATGCAAAGCTCCGTAAGCCTCTGATCCAACCATTTCACCAAAACCTGCCTTCCAAAAAAATAAAATAAAAAAATCTCCCATTTCGCTCAATAGGATTGATCACAGCTGTTCAACAACACAGGCTGGGAGGTGGATTAACAGGCAAACTTTATTGGCTTTTTGGCTTCAGGACCTCACAGAAGTTTTCCGACACCAGAAGTTTTCCAACTATCGACAAAGCCCCATATGAATCACTTTGAGAAGTGAGGCATGCACTTTGTTGTATGCAGCTGTGGAAAACATAAGCCAATTTGCGTGCATTAAATATCTCCATACCTTTTTGGATATGGTTCTTGGCAGCGGGAGCGCTGCAGTTTGAGACAAAGCCAAAAGCTATAGCAGGGTTTATTTTTGCACAATGAAAATAAGGGAAGGAGGTACAACCTTGTACTTTTAAGATAATTAACCTACGACATCTCGATGGAGAGGGAGCAGAGTGAGAGATGCACTAGAAACACTACTCATTTGTTTATTTCCATTTATTTTTTTCTTAAGGGGTTTTAGGAATCATTTGCACCTTAAATCCTAAAGTGCCTGCTGCCTGTGCTGTTTCTATAACGCGCATCTTGCTGGATGACGACTGCGAGCCAAATCCACTTAAGGGTACAAATAAACAAACCTGAGATTCCAAAGGTTCTGCCAAAGCTGCAAACATGAAAGCAGTTTTGTGTTTAGATGCTGCCTAAGATGTGTTAAAGTTTCAGTTTGGGTGCGTTTGCCTTATGGAAGGATTACATTTCCAAAACTCTCTCGGCTTTCCAGACCCTATCAAAGATTTTGCAGATAAATATCCAGTAATTCCTGCTGCCACGTTTATTTCTCGTCACATTTTACCCCCTTTAGTGTCTTTGCGGCGTCTGTTCACATCTTTTCTGTTGTCTTTTGCCACAGATTTATAGCAGTTTGCACATTTTGTCCATGTTTTCTTTCTCTTTGGTGCCCGTTTGCCTCTTCAGCTGCTATTAGTGTAAATAAGACCTGAATTGACTTGCGCTTAATTAACTTTATGGTTAAATAAAAGGCAAACAACTAGCTGCATTGTTTATATAATCAAATCGATTCTTCGGGGTTTGTTGGCTGCTGATCAAGCTGTGCAAGAGCTCCACAGATACGAGGTCTGGGAGCTGGAAACTTGTGATCAGAACTTTTTGCATTAATGGACGAAACAAGCAGGAACAAGAATACACAGTAATGAAAAAAAGCTTTGTGCAGCGATGTACATGAACTCATATGATCAGACTTGTACACAGAGGTTAACATTGTGTGTATAAGTGTGTAAGAGATTAGCATCATTAGCTATCACTCTGTAAAACCTGCACATGTAGGTAACAAAGAAAGCAGTGTGCAAATATTTATAGTGTGAACAGCTCGTGCACATGAAGGGTTCGTCAACAGTCGGGTTATCAGCCTCGGTAAACAATACTTAACATCAGATCATGTTAAATTAGCAGGCGAGAACTGATGACTGACCGGGCGGCGATGTAGAGCATGTGGTTGATCCTCAGCATCCTCTGGAAGTCCAGACCCAGGCGGACAGTGTCATTGTCTGACATGAGCCCCTGGAAGCTGGGGTAGAGGTAGGAGGCTGCATGGGTCAAAACAAGGAGAGAAGAAGAAGACATTGTTCATAACACCACCAGATACCTGAAATCCCCCCCGCTCAGTAAAGATTAGAAGTCATGGGACTAACACATGACTTTCCTTTGCAAATAACAGTTTCTAACAAAACCTCAAACTGGAAAAGAAAAACACGACTCAGCCCAGACAATTCACTGCGAAACGATGGAAATGAAAGCAATCAGCTTCTGCTCTGTTGTCATATGTCAATGCTATAACAAACAACTGTTTGGCAGTTTCACATTTATAAAAAAGGCAGTAGGAAAACATTTATCCACAGTGTTATTTGCAATTTAAGAAACACTAAGCGAAGGTTACAATTTGCCCTATTGTGCTCAAAACCCGAACATACACTGTATGCTAATGTGCACTTGTGGAGGTGGATGAGCAGGAGAAGAAAATAGCATCCTGAGCTGCAAATTAGGTAGTCGTGTCATAGAAGTCAATCTGATTTAAATAAATGGCTCCTGGTAAGCATTTCTGAACAGACACGTCTGGGGAATATGCCAAGTGAGGACAAGGAAACAAATCAAAAGCATCTCAATGGAGAGTCTGTTGTCTGGTCAACCCACATTTAAATAGCAAACATCTGTCTCCCAGGTCACTGAAGTCCAACTTACTGCCGTCTTGAATGCAATTTAAATGCCTTAACCTGGCTAAAGCGCACTTAAAATTCTCCATTATGAACGACACCAAAATATACAATTCAATGGAAATCAGGCGTGTTCATGCATAAACAAACTGTGTGTGCGCGGAGCAGCACAAAAACTGTTAGATAAGATGAAGTGAGGGAAGCGGTGCAAAGAGAAACGGTGATATAATTTCAACTATGTTGCTCTCTCCATCCTCCTCTACTGCATGTTAATTCCATCCTGTCTTCTCCTGCTCAAACAACAGACTAACTCACTGGAGGGAAATGCTAATTTAAACAATAGGAGATGGTGCCCGATACTTTAAATAACAAAATGACAGCCAGTCAGTAGAAGGACATGCCTGGCAAAAGCGTGATTAAAAAAAAAAAAAAGAAGAAGAAAGAAAAAAAAAAAAAAAAGGATGCTTGAGGCAAAAACAAAATTAGCCTGCCTCAAAACTGACACCAGGCTGTCTTCCACATCACACAGACAGCTTCCCCTGCTGCTCGCTTATTTATTTATTTATTTATTTTCCAACCAAGCAAAGATTCAGCTCAAGGCCATAGCGCTTTGGGTCTGTAAAGTACTGTATTAAGTGCCCTCCAGCCTCCCATCTGACCTGGGCTGCTGCTGAATTAGCAATCCCCGCTAGAAATACACCACAATCTCAAATTAGTCTCTCTACAGGGAGCCGTACGCTCCCTTAACCACTCGTCTCGAATCGACTGTTTAAAGATTTAAACGCCTAATGTCTGGCTGAGTGCTGGACCTTGCTGTGCTGTCTGGTGAAGAGATTCCCAGTGGCTCGCCGGCCCGCCCTGCTATCCTCCCCCCGGCAAATGAGGATTTCTAATTACACTTCGGCACTTCACATCCTATAAAGTTTGGGGGCAGCTGGGCCACCGCTCCAGGCAAAGTCCAGAAGCAGGTGATGGACCACGGAGTTATTTAAGATCCAAGAAACATGCGTAGCTCTACGGGCCAATCGAACCGGAAGCCTGCGTTCAGACCAGCACCGGCACAAAAACGGATCACTCATTTCAGTGAGGCCACAATCAATGCTCCCAACAGCTAAAGTAAGCCGGCTCAACATCCGACCTACAGCACATTAAATTAACAGCCACAGCAAATAAACCTTCAGTCGATTCTTTATCTTACACGACAGCAAACGGAACATTTTTAGCTTCTCAGAAATTGTGAGAAGCATTTTTCATTCTTGCTTTTTTTCTCCCCAAATCGCACCGATGATTAATCACTCAGAAAGACGCTTCGCAGAATAATAGCTGATCATAATAACATCACTGAGCTCTGCACTTTGGCGGTGCACGCTGCATATCCTGTTTACCTCAACAAGGCGCTGCTCAAAACATCAACAAAAAATGCAATGCAGCTGAGTGCAGCAGCCAACTCGCATTGCAATTTTTTTGATAATGGCAGAAAAAGTCACAACACAGCCATTATGAATGACGCATTGTGGCTTCACAGAGATGCTCCGGCCTACATATCACATTCTCCAGACATCAGGGCAGACGCTTGTTTGGCAAAGACTACAGTCATTTTTTTTTTTCAGTGGAGGAGAAATGCCAGAATTACCATTCCCGCTAAAATCACGACTCGCACCGCAAACGCAACATCCGTCAAAAATAATCGCAATATTTTATTTTAATTTTTTTATTTCACATACTCTGCCCCAACCTCAACAGCCCAGACAGAGATAAAATAATTGCCACAGTGGTACCTTTCCAGGGTTGTAAAATGCATTGTGAGCGGTTATATAGTGCTTTGGCATTTCATAAGCTGTAAACTCAGGGATGTATTTCTTCAACTGCACCTCCTGGATTGTGATTCATTTTCTCACCGAGTGCCGAGAGAAAAAAGTTGACATCAATTAAAGGCTTTGTGTGTATGTCAAGGCAGCAGCAGTGCGCTGCCCTACATGAGAAACAGTCTGCAAAGGGTACAGGTACACAACAAACCACTGGAATCAAGTCATAACAGCGGCTTTCAGCTACACCTTGTAAAAGAGACGGACCTTCATATGTTCTCCTGACTCGACTGCAGAACTTGTGGCGACGGACAGGTTTGCATTAAAAGTTTACCTTCAGTGAAATCATCTTGGTTTTGATAAATCAGCCCTCCTCAACATATCACTCGACTCCAATTATCAAAACAGGAACATGAAAGCATATTTATCAACAGCTTCTGTATGAATCGCTTCAGAATAAAATATCTGCACCGGCTCTCTAAATTTGTCAAACGCAGACAGCCTGCAGTCAGTCACTACAGGGCCTGATGCTGGATCTGGAGTCGTCTGCCCGCTCTCCAAAAGGAGGAGTCACTTCCATTTGATTTCATAGACTTTGCCGTGACGAAGTGCTGCGATTCATAATGGATGTCTCGCAGAGTTTTGAGGGACCTTGTGCCATGCTGTCACCTGCTGGAAGCAGAGGTGACAAATTGTTCTCATTACACCTGGGACGGAGCTCCACATATAGCACTATTAGCGCAGCTATTTCTGCTAATGGTTGCGTTACTCTCTTCCAGATAGATCAATTACAGTGTGTGGGCCATGGTCTCGGCCACCTCTTAAATCAATTATGGGCCATTACATTTAGCAGCCAAGACCTCTCCTGTAGACCTCCCAAGTGATTGGGTGCCATTGATGAGTCCCCGGGGTTGTCCGATGAGGCAGTGTCTTGAGTGTGTCATAGAGTCTGCCCGGTCAAAATCGGATCTTGCGTTGCACTGGCTAATAACTCAACGTTAGCCTCCATCAGCTGTCACTGATAGATTGCTGTGATATCATGGCATACAGTTAATAAGTGGAAATGAAGGATTCCAAGGAAATTGTAACACAAATGAACTAAATGAGGTAAAAATAATAAAAACATAAATCGAATCAATATTTCATGAACAACTTTAAATTACCAGTTGCATATGGTAGGTGCACCTGCTCTCAGTTCTGTCAAGATATTCAACAAGCAGGGCTTTCCAGGTATCTAGGTGACTTCCCAACAATAATATTGTTGATTTAGGCTGCGTCAGTGACGAGGATAGCTCGTTGTCATGATCAAGAATCTAAACATTTAAAGTCCATAAAGCTCAGTCCTGTGTGTCAACATCTGAGATCTCTTTCATAGGTGGTCCAAAACGAGAACTAAACGTCTCCTTTTGGTGGATGCCATGTTATTACACACTAATCAAGACAAGTAAACACGATTAGATGACATCCTTTGGACTGACATGCAGGTCATTTAGTAGCCAGTTTTTGTGACTGTAGTCTTTGCTGCGTGGAAGAAAAATTAACTCAAATTCTGCTGACTACAGTTTGACTGACAGCTTTCACACGAGCCTGAATCAACCCAGAGTCTGTTTGCACCAACCTGACCAGGTCAGAAGTGCCTCAAGTCCCACCTGCTGTTTGTTTTGTCTTTTGTCTTTAGTCAGTTTAGGTTCACATTGACTGTATGCATCTACAAGCAAGCGAGATGTTGAAAAAAGCTAGCAAACGTGCAAGTATAAGCGTCCCTCAGCCCCGACTGGGACTTGTGTTTCCATGCAAAGCTGAAACGCCTTTTTTTTTTCATGGTACGACAACAGAACAAGAATAATTACATTAATAAATACCCCAGCAGCCGAATCCACCTCCACAACCCAACGCAGCCTTAAACACATCCACCTCACTAAGCCGTGCTCCCCAGTGCTGAGGTATAACGCCTTGGTGACCCTCGCTCCGGTTCTCCAGTTTTACATGTGCTCCTGCAGCGGGGATCGCCATGGCAACCCAACACATTTTGAACTTACATTCTCTGCCCACGATGCTGATCGGTTCCAGGTCTTGGGGGAACGGCGTGGCTCCTGAGGACAGCTGAGGTAAGAAGGCGACTAAGGTGAGAGCCAGGACGGCTGGTGGGACGGGTCGAGGCGAGCCGGGCATCAGCCTCATTTTGGCACAAGATGAGGCCTCACCAGAAACACATGGCCCGCGGCAGATCCACCCAACCCACCTGGAACGAGACACAAGGATATCAGGGTTACATGAGCGTTACATCTGACACATCTCGGTGTTATTACGCAGCCAGCAGCACCTTCACAGAACTCAGATGGATGAACCTTCATCAGGTTGCTGCACAAGGATGCGTCCTCATCATCGTCGATATTAAAGTGCAGCAATTACATAATTGAAGAACGACGGCAGCAAAGTTTAACGGTGGCAGCTAACGTTCCTATTAGCATGCAACGCTTTGTGTCAATGCGGCAATGTGATTGAGAGTCCGCTGAACCACTGAGATGCAAGAGTGCAAACACACACATAAAAAAAGAGGTAGATGGAGTCGCAGAGAGAACCAGAGAAAGAAAGAGAAGCAGCCAGGAGAGGAGGGAGGCTCCCGAGGCCCTGACCGCCAGGACACCTGCCACATTTACTGCCCACCAACGTCTTTCACAGGTGATGTAATTAAAACTTTGTCCGCACCAGAAAAAAAACACCCTGCACAGTCCGCCGTGACACCGGGTCCTGATGGGAGCTTTTAATTAGAAAGGTTAGAGGTCTGTATGGTTAAATATCACCACCCACATCAGCTAGAAGAGGAGGCTGTATCGAGAAAAAATGGGTCTCCGAGCAAAACGTCTGTTCAGCCAGGATGTTACCAAGGTTTTACAAACACAAAGAGGCTTGACACACACTATTTCTAACCTAAGAACATGGATTTAACATTTAACTGAGTGTTAATAGAGGAGGAGAAAGCAGGAGTAGCAGCAGCAAGGAGCTCAGTCCTGTTGTGTGCAGACTGAATGAACTGCCAAAGGGATAACAGAGTTTACCTATTGTGAGCGACAGGTCACGGACACACATGATTGGAGAGCCGCCTAACGAACTGAAATGACAATTAGGAGAGCTGAAAAGTCTGGGCTTTAAATGTGCAGTAGTGTGGATGTGGCCGCCACATGTGTTAACTCTACATTGACCTGTTCATTCAACACAGGCTGGCACCGGATGCAGCTCTTCATAACTCAACATAATAATCAATTTAGACGCTCAGGGATAGAAGAAAAAAAACAAGTGAAAGTATGAATAATGGAGACAAATGAACACTTTACGCTAAATGGTAAAATATTTCATTTATAAAGTATTAGTGAGAGGATAAACATGAGTAAAGTTAAGGCTGCATAACATCCAGAGAACTGCCAAAGTTAGAGAATCTTCTGTATTTGTTGCTTCAATATGAACCCAGTTTACAGTCGTGACTCGATAATCCGACACTAAATGTAAAACCTTCTCAGCAAAGATGTTGGATTGTCAAGACGGAGGTCGAGATACAAGGAGGGCTTGATGCTGGAAGGCTCATTTGTTGTTAATTATTGTTCATAGTTGTTATAATAACTAGTGTATTGTTAGAACACTACACATCGCTAGATTTCACGCCTAATTGACCGTTGTGCTTGTGCACGTTCCGGACACTTCCACCCCGTGGCAGCGCTCTGACGGGGTGGAAGTGTCCAGAACACACAGGCAGTACTTGGCTGCTGATGCTAGTTTAGTTAGCGCTCACACTTCTGTTTCCACCATCGGTGGCGGCGGGGGAGTGGCAGATACGCTCCACCGTTACCATCCATGTTTACTTCCATAAACACTGAGCGCGCTCGCTGCGTGTGACGTCGTCGTGTCCTCTTCTGCGCATGCGGGACACTTTTGGGTCGTATGAAGTTCACACAGCAGATCACATACAAGTCGCATTGAACTGGAAACGTGAAGGAAGTCACAAAGAAATCCTCATTGAGCATCAAGTCCTGCAGTGTGAACGTAGCCAATCTGTGGGATTGTTCAGTCAGATAATACGCCGTCATCCTGATTGGTGACATTAAATGTCATGTCGGAGTCAGAATCCAAGGCTGTCGCTATGTTAAGGCTGTTTTTAATGGGTTTCGTTTGTTTTTCCTGAAAACCTGTCGGATAGCAAAGTTTAGGATTGTTAAGGGTCGGATTATCGAGTCACGACTGTATTTTATCCACAACTAGATCGGAAGCAAAACACACAAAGTGGGGACACGTGACAATCCACCAGGCTCCCTTCATATCAGTCAGTGCAGCAGCAGGGTTTTATAATGTAGTTACTGCATCTGTGACTCTGAACACCTGCTGCCAAACACACACATGTACAAACATATTATTAAAAAAATAAATAAGTTGGCTGGTAAACAGAAAGTGATTCATTCATTGTGTTACTATCAGACACAGACAGAAGAATTTGTTTTGCATAATTACAGAAGCAACTCAGCGGGTGGACAAAGGGTGCTGCCACTAAAATCAGATTCTGCCAACAGAAAAGTCAGAACGAAATGTTATAATACCGCAGAGAATACCTGACAATGATCTCAAAGGAACGCCGAACGAAACAAACAAAAAAACAGTGATGACAGGTTACCGTGCAGCGATGTTCCAACCTCATCCACCTGCGTGAATTCAAAGTTACGTATTTCCATTTTTAATAAATTGACAAAAGAGCTCTGAGAATAGTTCTCTTAAAAAAAAAAAAAGTTTCACCAGAAGTTGAAGTGGAGTGTCTGTGTGGGAATAATTACCAGCTCTAGACATTGTGCACGAGGCCGAGATTATGCATGAATGTTAATTTCCACATCTGTTTGAAATTTGAGGAAAGAGACAGTAGCAGATGGATGGAAGGGGGATTTGTTGAAACCGACTTCAAACTGTGATGACCTGCGCTCCCCGCCAATTTATTAAGGGCAATGTGTCCTCCACAGGGGTTCTTACAAGCCCTCCCAAGTTTATGTACTGTGTCGCTTGGCAGTGAGACTTGGGCCACATGGTTTTAAGTGGGAGCAGAAAATTAAGTCAATAGAGACATGAACTCTCATCAATATTGATAATAGTCTGCTTCATTTAAATGCAGGGGAGAAAGCTGCATTTAGCAATGAGGTCAAGCGATGATCACAACGCCATAAATCGACGGGAGTGGGCGAGTGTCTGCTTGTGTTTACTTTGTGAATTACAACAGCCTGAGGCAGTACGAGGGTATTATACCTGATGGATTAGCCTCATCTGCAATGATTTGGACGTCTTTTTTTTGTTTTTTTGTCTTGCCAGGGAGGACAGTTATTTAAAACAAACACTTTATATATAGTGGTCCAAAAAAAACAACAACAACAAATCCACTAGAAAACTCCCTTAAAAGTCAAAAAGCTTCAGGGCAGAACTTTGGTGTCAAACGCCGATCCAAATGTCAAAAGAAGTATATCAGCGATTCACCTCTTCGCTTTATGAATATGCATAGACAGCCGCCCAAAAAGCACAAGCAGCACATCCGGGAAACGCTGCATCCTTGTGAGGAAGTAAGGGAGAGATCCTTTATTGACAGCCTACTTAGCTAAAGGAAGACAGCCAGCAGAGTGTGATGATGATGCATGCAAAACAAGACAACCATGGTGAATACAAGAGCTTATGCAAGACCAGTCATACTCTGAAAGTCAGGGTAACACCTCTGCTACAAGCCAAGACACACAGAGCACGCAGTCTGCTGATGACTTCATCATTATCCCGAGCTGCTGCTGCTGCTGCTGGAGACATTTTGCAAACCTTAGTGCTTTAGAAAGTTCACTTGAGGAACTGCACAATGACAGGTGGAGAGAGGAGGGGTTTGTCTTCAGGCCAAATTCAGGATTAAAAAAGAAAAAACCATTGCCTTTTCATCACAGCTCTTTAAAAAAAAAAGTGCAGACACATGGGCACACATCATCACCGACACACTACGATAAACAAAAACAACCTCCTTTGGCTGCCACTTGCTTGTAAAACCGGTTAGTCTGAACTGTCATGGCCATTTTCCAGAGAGGAATCAGTCAAAAAAAAAAGGGAGTTGGCTGAGCAAAAACACACAGAGGTCTGTGACGGTGTAAGAACAAATGAACGAGCTGTCGGGCTCAAGAGAAATGCTGCGTCACGATCTGATGCGTCACCGTCGGATTTCAAATATTCTCAAATATTAACATGGTAGACAGAAGAACCTACGTCTTGGGGTGAGAAGGACAACAAAGTTTAAGTCTTGCAATAGAAGTAAACTAAATATTTCTGCCCCTTGTGTGCTGTGGTTTGTTCAGCACGCAACACGTCCGACGCCTTCCTTGTTTTCAAGCTCATGCTATGTAGCTGCGGTTTCTGTACTAACAAGGGACATTAAGCAAATATGTCGAGAATTGAAACTTGGCGCTGATTGGATTTTTTGTCTAATTTATTTAGACACTTTATGAATTGCAAAACGAAAGCTGTTGACGTGGCGCAGAGGTCAGTGCCGGGTTAATGTGTGGCGACATCTGGTCCCGGTCAGCCACTTTAACCTCAGTGTGGTGCAGCGCTGCGGTTCTGCTCTGGACATCCTCCATGCACCCCAAAAGTTTAAACCTTTCCTCAGCGTTTGCATATGTATCCCTTTACATCAAAGCTGATTTACTTGCCGTCTTTGTCTAACGTGTATCAAGGTCAGATCATTCCTTTGCACTTCATTATTTTTATTCATTTGTGTAAAATTTGGTTTTTGATCTGCACTTATATCCAAAGAAGCTTTACAGTGTGTTTCTCATTCACCCATTCACACACCAATGGCGACACAGCTGCCATTGGGAGCAACTTCAAGTTCAGTGTCTTGCCCAGGGACACTTAGAGGGGATCGAACCGCCAACCTTGCGACTGGAGGACAACCCGCTCTACCACCTGAGCCACAGCCGCCCATCGATGTGTTAAAAGTAAAGTGATTACGGTTGTGAATGGGGCTGTAAACTCTTAGCAAGGTGGTTAAATTCAAATTAAACCTTTATTAAATATAGATCAAACATTATCAATATGGACTAGGGGGGAAAAAATAAGTAAATAAATAAAAAAATCACAACACCGAGCTCAAACTTCAACACAATTTTAATACTCTAAGAGGATTTTCGATGGAAAAGGTTGTCGAGAAAAAAACATGTTTTCAAAAATATGGTATTAAAAAAGTCA